TTGGAACATCCTTTGGCATTGTCCTTCTTTGGGATTAGAATGAAAACTGACCTTTTCTAGTCCTGTGGCCACTGCTGAGTTTCCCAAATTTGCTGACATATTGAGTGCAGCACTTTGACAGGATCATCTTTTAGAATTTGAAATAGCTCAGCTGGAATTCCATCACCTCCACTAGCTTTGTTTGTACTAATGCTTCCTAAGGCCCACTTGACTTCACACTCCAGGTTATCCATCTCTAGGTGAGTGACCACACCATCGTGGTTATCTGGGTCATTAAGACCTTTCTTGTGTAGTTCTTCAGAGTTTTAAAGTGTTTGTAATTCCTTTGAACTAATCTCTTCTACTTGGTAAGTTACTTAGGGATTGTAAAGCCAGATATCTGGTCTCTCCAGTCTGTTAATAAACAGAAAGAGGAATATAACAAAATTTTACACAGACCTATTTGAGACTTTGTTTAAGAAGACTCCACCTGTTTATCACTAATTCAAAGCACATTTATTTTTTTTATTGGAATGGTCATGTATTTATATGACTGAATAGAGATAGACAGACTATATGAAACTATATCTGCTGTTGCTTTACTTTTTCTTTTCTAAAATAGCTCCAAATAGAATCTGTAGTTAAAGATAATAAAATAGCCAAATTATGTTTCAATTTGCTGGTAACTGTCAAATTTAATTTGAAATATAAAGAAATTGATGACTGCTTTAGAATATTGAATGCGTATTTTTAAACTGTGAACTAATATTGTTCTCTCAGCTAAGAGTATCATTAATTCTGTATGAAATAACAATTCATTTGTTTTGAAAAACTGAGTTTAATCTATGCAGCCTTATTTTAAATCAAATATCCTGTTCTTGACAATTTTTCATAACTAATTCTATTGTTGAGCTAGACTCCACCACTTGTTCCTTATCCTGTCTGCCTTCTGTTTCACTCTCTTCCACTGTCTTTACCACCAACCTGTTTACTTTTTTAAAAAAATTGAAGTATAGTCGATTTACAATGTTGTGTTACTTTCAGGTGTACAGCACAGTGATTCAGTTATATATATATATATAGTATTTTTCAGATTATTTTCCCTTGTAGGTTATTTTTTTTTTCATTATCTAAATAAGCAGTGTAATTTATTTCCAAGTCACTTGCCTTGTGACTTATCTTTTTTTTTTTAATTTTTATTAGTTGGAGGCTAATTACTTCACAACATTGCAGTGGGTTTTGTCATACATTGACATGAATCAGCCATGGAGTTACATGTATTCCCCATCCCGATCCCCCCTCCCACCTCCCTCTCCACCCTATTCCTCTGGGTCTTCCCAGTGCACCAGGCCCGAGCACTTGTCTCATGCATCCCACCTGGGCTGGTGATCTGTTTCACTATAGATAATATTCATGCTGTTCTCTCGAAACTTCCCACCCTCACCTTCTCCCACAGAGTCCAAAAGTCTGTTCTGTACATCTGTGTCTCTTTTTCTGTTTTGCATATAGGGTTTCCCTTGTAGGTTATTACAAAATATTGAGGATAGTTCCTTGTGCTACAGAGTAGGTCCTTGTTGGTTATCTATTTTATACTATGTGTATGTTAATCTCAAATTCCTAATTTATCCCTCCCTCACAGCCTGTTTCCTTAGTATCATTCATTGTTCCACAAGTCTTGTTAATTATTTGTTATACCAGTCTTTTCTCTGTGGGCTTGTTAAAGACTATATTCATTTTTCCACATGTGACATATTCATTTTGTGACTCCTACTGGAATTACCTTTTATCTGCTAAAAAACTATTTTCATTAAAATGTATTTATTTATTTTTTACTGTACTGGGTCTTCTCAAGTTGTCACAAGTGGGGACTACTCTCTCGTTGTGGTATACATTGCAGTGACTTCTCTTGTGGAGCACGAACTCTAGGCTGCACAGTTTTCACTTGTTGTGGTACATGGGTTTGCCCCATGGCATATGGAATCTTCCTGGACCAGGGGTCAAATCGAACATGTGTACCCTGCATTGGCAGGCAAATTTTTAACCACTGGACCATCAGGGAAGTCCCAGCTACAAAACTATCTTTCTGTGCTATCTTTCTCTATTGTTGATAAAAGTGTACTCAGGAAATAAATATTTTTTTCAGTATTGGTTGAATTCAGACATGCTTTATTTTTTTTAACAACTTAATTTTTTATTTCCCAAAATATCATGAATAGATTCCTAATCCAGTAATTATAGACATAAATTATCGTATTTTTTTTCATTTATTTTTATTAGTTGGAGGCTAATTACTTTACAATATTGTAGTGGTTTTTGTCATACATTGACATGAATCAGCCATGGATTTACATGTATTCCCCATCCCGATCCCCCCTCCCACCTCCCTCTCCACCCGATTCCTCTGGGTCTTCCTGGTGCACCATACGATAACCCTATATGCAAAACAGAAAAAGAGACACAGATGTACAGAACAGACATGCTTTAAAGGTCAGTCAGTTCAGTTGCTCAGTCGTGTGAGCAGCTGTGACCCCGATTCTTTGTCACCCCATGGACTGCAGCACACCAGGCTTTGCTGTCCATCACCAGCTCCTGGAGCTTTCTCAAACTCATGTCCATCAAGTCAGTGATGCTATCCAACCATCTCATTCCCTGTCGTCCCCTTCTCCTCCTGCCTTCAATCTTTCCCAGCATCATGGTCTTTTCTGATGAGTCAGTTCTTCCCATCAGGTGGCCAAAGCATTGGAGCTTCAGCTTCAGCATCCGTCCTTCCAGTGAATATTCAGGACTGATTTACTTTAGGATTGACTGGTTTGATCTCCTTGCAGCTCAAGGGACTCTCAAGAGTCTTCTCCAAGCACAGTTCAAAACCATCAATTCTTCAGTGCTCAGCTTTCTTTATGGTCTAACACTCACATCCATACATGACAACTCAAAAAACCATAGCTTTGACTAGATGGACCTCTGTCAGCACAGTAATGTCTCTGCTTTTTAATATACTGAAGAGACTTAGCATGCATACAGTGACGTCTGTCTTTCAAAGAGTGCTGTTTCTCTATTAGATTCCTGATCTACTTTCAGAGTGAAAAGGCACATCCTAACATCTGTTCCTTGATGATTGAGTTTAATGGGAAGGAATTGTTTTTACAGTGTGAATGCCAGTGTAAATAATGGGAAATGTAATTGGTCAGATGCTTCTGAATAGTGAACAACTCCACAATTTACCAACCATTAACAAACATACCCCTGTCTTGTAAAGAAGAACAAAACCATGAATTAGCATTAACCCTGCACTGAGATTCTTGTCTTCTGCACTTCTTTTTTATCTTTTCCCTTCTTACTACTTTTGCAAAGTTTGAACATAAAGGTAGAGGTGAGAGGAATGATAAATGAATATGATTGCATTTATTTCCAACTGAAATTCTCATTGACTAACCATGCTTTTTTTCCATTGTCTCATGATGACTGACTTATAAAAAGAAACAAGCAAAATTTAGCTCTTTCTTTGTATAGACATACATTTTCATTTCTTTGAGATGTATGTTTGGGAATGCAATTGCTGGATTATATGGTTAGTTCCCTGATAGCTCAGTTGGTAAAGAATCCACCTGCAATGCAGGAGACCCTGGTTTGATTCCGGGGTGGGGAAGATCCTCTGGAGAAGGGATAGGCTACCCACTCCAGTATTCTTGGGCTTCCCTTGTGGCTCAGCTGGTAAAGAATCCATCTGCAATGCAGGAGACCTGGGTTTGATCCCTGGGTTGGGATGATCCCTTGGAGAAGGAAATGGCTACCCACTCCAGTATTCTAGCCTGGAGAAATCCATGGATTGTATAGTCCATGGGGTCGCAAAGAGTCGGACATGACTGAGCAACTTTCACTTTCACAAGTCACTTGCTTACTTTTTTAAAGAAACTGCCAAACTCTTTTTCAAAGACTGTACCATGGTATATTCCTACCACCAATGTAGAGTAGAGAGCCAGTTTCTCTACATCCTTGCCAGCATTTGGTATTGTGGCTATATTTTATTTTAGTAACAGATGTGTATTGATGGCTCATTTTGCCCTTAATTTGCATTTCAGTAATGACTGATGTTGAACATCTTTTTGTGTGTTTATTTGTCATCTGTAGATCATCTTTGATCTAGATGTCTCTTGATGTCTTGCCTATTTTGTTTGTTCTTCTGAATTTTGATGGTGTTAAAATATATTCAAACTACTAATCTGTTTTAGATGTGTAGTTTCAAAATATTTTCTCTCACTCTATAGCTTGTCTTCATATCCTCCTTACAGGGTCTTTCACAGAGCAAAAGTTTTTAAGTTTGATGAGGTCCAGTTTATCTTTTTTTTTCTTTTTTGAATCATGCTTTTGTTGTCAAGTCTAAGAGCTCTTTGCGTACACAATGATCCTGAATATTTTCTCCTAATTTTTAATAATTTTCATTTTTACATTTAATTTTGTGATCCATTTTAAATTAATTTTTGTATAAGGTGTGAAGTTCAGTTTGAGGTTCTTATTTTTGACTATGGATATCCAGTTGTTTCAGTACCGTTTATTGAAAAGGCTGAGTTAATTTTGCACGTTTGGCTATAATTGTGTAGGTCTATTTCAAGGTCTTATTTCTGTTCCATTGACCTATGTATCTATCCTTTTATCAGTATAACCCTGCCTTGCTTACTGAAGCTGTATAATAAGCTTTAAAATTAGATAGAGTAGCTCTTCCCACTTTCTTTGGAATCATTGGCCAATGAAAATTTTTATGATTTTTCTTATTTTATTTATTAGGAAATAGTAAGTCATGCACATAAAAATGTAGTATATGCTTAAATCTCATCATGAAATAATATAATTTTAAGAATAATTATCATCATCAGGCCCAAGTACCAATTTTAATTTTTAGTTCTCTTATATTTTTTGTGTACCTCTGCTTATTAGTCTTGGTTTTCAGTTGCCTAGTTAAAAGAAACTTTAAATTCCAAGTTGAGAGTATTAATGGCATGCTTTCTTTATCTTTTTTTTTTTAGATGGTGTTGTCTGAAAAGGTTAGTCAGCTGATGGAATGGACCAATAAAAGGCCTGTAATAAGAATGAATGGAGACAAGTTCCGTCGCCTTGTTAAAGCCCCACCGAGAAACTACTCCGTTATTGTCATGTTCACTGCTCTCCAACTTCATAGACAATGTGTCGTGTGCAAGTATGAACTTTCAACTACACTTTAAAAATTAAATAACTCAAAAGATTTTAACCATTTTTCAATCTCAGAAGAATGAGATTAGTTCAGTGGATACATAAACAATTAATGTGTATACTTTCTTAGCATGTCTGTAGTAACACATAATGTGCTGTGCTTAGTTGCTAAGCCATGTCCAACTCTTTTTGACCCCATGAATTGCAGCTCACCAGGCTCCCCTGTCCATGGGGATTCTCCAGGCAAGAATACTGGAGTGGGTTGCCATCCCCTTCTCACTAACATATAATAGTATTACTCTTTTGTAGTCTTTTTTTAAAGGTTTTGTTTATTTATTTATTTTGGCTGCAGTGGGTCTTCATTGTAGCACAGCAGCTTTTCTCTATTTGTGGTATGCAGGCTTGGTAGCCCTGAAGCATGTAGCATCTTAGTTCCTTGACCAGGGGTCGAACCTGCATCCCCTGCATTGGAAGGGAGATTCTCAAGCACTGGACCACCAGGGAAGTCCCTAGTCTTTGTCCATATTAGTGGGGGAGGGACAAAAAGCAAGGATAAAGTATCATGGTAACCATCATAGAAATAACAGAAAATCTAAAAATCAAAAATTGATATCAAGCTATATAAATGCATGTCAATAGCATTGATGTAGTACTTATGTGCTCTTGTTTTATGACAACATTCCCAGAAGTTATGTAAAACAAATATTCTTTCATTTTTGGAAGAAACAGTTTCCAGTGTTTTAAATGGTATACCAAAAGCTAGAGATATTTATTAATGCAATAATGGTGACTATATCCAAAATTTGGAATTACAGGAGAACTTTTTTAGAAAACAAAGATTCATGATGTAGAGGTATTTCTTTTTTCTAGATTATTTTGTAGTAATTTTAAACCTTAGAAATGGAGATTAATCTCAAACTTTCATCAAACAATGCTTATTTGATTTGATTTTATTATTTCTGAATGCTTTTAGGCTTTTTTTTATTCATTTACTTATATTTTTAAATCATATATGTGGTCTGGGAAATCACTTTAAATGAAATGATACAGCTACCTTGTGAAAAACTAGTAAAATCTTGGGAGGTTTTCCAAGTTCTGATAGCCTGAGACCATGTGAAGGAACAGACAGCCTTCTTTCAGAATGGTGTGTTATGCTTCCCCAAGCCTTTATAACTCTTCTTAAAGATTTTCTCCCCAGAGGTAGGAGATAGGCCAGGTATTTGGTCCCAGAGTGCTGTTCTTCTTTTTCAGGGACGGGATTATGCTGTTACAAATTAAAAGTAGGTAGAAGAAGGAAAAAGAATAGTAAGCGTTAACTATGAATAAACTTAAATTCTGCAGTTACTCATAATTCAGTCAGTTTACTCACTGGCAATCATGAGTATACAAAAATGTCAGAAAACAAAGTCCTTCATAATTATGCATTAAATGCAAATTAATGGAATTCTTAATGTTTTTAATAGTATCTTTTTACAAAACCAAATTTTAAATTAGCTCACATTTTCCTAAACTCATTCAAATAATTAGAATTAAGCCACAGTAATTTGTATAATACTATGTAGTTGGTGCTCTTAGGATGAGAAGTATAAGAGTGCTTGGTCCCAGAGTGCTGTTCACTCCTATCATCTGGCTAGGGAAATGTGTTCCACGTATGAAAATTTATCTGTCAGTATGACACAGTTTATGATTAAGTACTAAATGAATTGTGTACATAATAAATGCTACGGAATTTCAGGAAGGACATGTAACAGGAATGGTTAGGTTTGGCCTAATAGAGAAGGTAGGACTTGTACAAGGGCTAGACAGATGGATCAGATTTACATGGCGGTAGGATATTCTGTTTAGAAGCAATGATGTGTGGAAAGGTACAGAGATAGGAGTAAAGTGCTGGAATTAAGAGATACTGTTTGAGATTGAGTAATACCAACCTAGATAGCATATTAGAAGGCAGAGACACTACTTTGCTAACAAAGGTCTGTCTAGTCAAGGCTGTGGTTTTTCCAGTAGTCATGTATGGATGTGAGAGTTGGACCATAAAAAAGCTGATACCAAAGAATTGATGCTTTTGAACTGTGGTGTTGGAGAAGACTCTTGAGAGTCCTTTGGACTGCAAGGAGATCAAACCAGTCCATCCTAAAGGAAATCAGTCCTGAATATTCATTGAAAGGACAGATGCTGAAGCTGAAGCTCCAATACCTTGGCCACCTGATGCAAAGAACTGACTCATTTGAAAAGACCCTGATGCTGGGAAAGATTGAAGGTGGGAGGAGAAGGGGACGACAGAGGGTGAGATGGTTGTATGGCATCACCGACTCAATGGACGTGAGTTTGAGTAAACTCTGGGAGTTGTTGATGGACAGGGAGGCCTAGCGTGCTGCAGTCCATGGGGCTGCAAAGAGTTGGACATGATTGAGCGACTGAACTGACTGAAGGTTGTGTAAAAGCTAGATGCATTATTTGGAAATAGATGATAAAGGACCTTGAATAACCAGTGAAAGAGCTTGGAGATTGTGTTCTGAAGGTAATAAAAAAGCAACAATGGTTTCTGAGAAGAGGAAGAGTATCAAGAAAGTGGTTATTTAGAAAGATTGATGTATATTGCAATGTTCAAGGATTGGAGGAGGAGAAAGTAGAGTTAAGAATTTTAATATCCAAATGTCAGATATTAAAGATCTAACTTTAGGTGACAGCAATGAAAATGAATGTGGAGGGATAGAATTAAAAGATAATCACATCCTGGAGAAGGAAATGGCTACACACTCTGGTATCTTGCCTGGGAAATCTCATGGACAGAGGAGCCTGGCAGGCTACAGTCCATGGAGTCGCAAAGAGTCGGACATGACTTAGCGACTAAAACAACAAACAACAATTGGAAACTGTAGAATAAACTTTAAGGTTTACTTCACAATCATGTAAATTCCATTTTGAGGGGGAAAGCTATTTTCTTGTCTACTAGAATTCAGTGAAAATATTTTTTCTTATACTGTTACTCATCTTTTCACTTAATTTAATATTATGATTCCTATTTATGAAGTGAAAATGTATGATACTATTAAATTCAAATTTAAGATAAACCAAAAAAAGATAATCACAGATGAGAAAATGTCAGATCTTAGAACTAAAAGCATATGGAAAATCAGGGAAAAGTAAAATATGGCTTGAGCTTTCAACTAATCTCAATTCTTTGTCTTTGAACTCTTAGAAATAATTTAGCCTATTAAAAATTGTAGCTAGATTTTTTTCCAGTGAATTTAGAAGGAGCTTTTTGATAAGAAACAGGCACAAAGTATGAAGCAGAGTCAGATAATCACTACTTCTTGTTGAAATCCCCAGCTCTTGATATAAGATTTCTCTTATGCCAAAACAGTGGCTGTTTTCCAAGGTTTGTCCTAACCCTATCAACAGAGCCTGACTTGCACTAGATTGCTTTTAAAAATGTTTTATATGTTATCTTTACCAATCCAATTGCATCCAGGCAAGCTGATGAAGAATTCCAGATCCTTGCAAACTCCTGGCGATATTCCAGTGCATTTACCAACAGGATATTTTTTGCTATGGTGGATTTTGATGAAGGCTCTGATGTATTTCAGATGGTAAGCTATTTGGTTATTCTGTTAAATAGAAATAGGTAAACTATATATAATGTGGAATACCTCTTTTTCAATGGCTGCAAGAAGTTAAATAGGACTTGTCTTATGTAAGATCTAGAGTAGTTAGTGAAATAAAAGCTGAACTTAAGCTAAATGTGAAATATGCTGGTCAATACTAACTTATTAGAATGTGGAAATTGGGTAGAAATCATGTAAACTTTTGTATATTTTTTGGTGGTAAAATATAATTTAAAAAGTACCACTTTGTTTTTAAGTGAACAATTTATCAAGTAACTTTAATTCAGAACAAGAATCCCACTATTGTGTAATACTGTAGTTCTTGGTAAGAGCTAGGTACCTGTTTTTAACCTCTTGCTGCTTGTCTTAGTGGAAAAGCTCCTTCTTGTTCAACACTTAGCTTTTTCCTGTGCCCTGTATCCCATACCTACTGGCTGTACCAATCATGACCTCTCTTACCTGTTTTTTTTTTTAATTAAAACTATTCTTTGAGGAGCTTAAGGTTCACAGCAAAAATGAGAGGTAGATACAAAGGTTTCCTGTTATGTCTTATGCCCCTGCACATGAATAGCCTCTCCATTACAGTTGGTGAACCTCCATTAATACATCATAATCACCCAATGTGCATAGTTTATACTGTAGTTGACACTTGGTCTTGTACATTCTGCTGATTTGGACAAATGTATAGTGAGATGTATCCATCAATATGTATTCATAAACAGTATTTTCACTGCCCTAAAATTCTCTATACTCTACTAATTCCTCCCTCCACACTAACCCTTGGTAATCACTGATCTTTTTGCTGTCTCCACAGTTTTGCCTTTTCCAGAATGTCATATACTTGGAATCATACAGTATGTAGACTTTTCAGATTGACTTCTTTCACTTAGTAATATGAATGTAAAGTTCCTCCATGTCTTTTCATGGCTTGATAGCTCATTTCTTTTAAGAGCTGAATAATTTCCCATTGTCTGGATATACCAGATTTTGTGTATTCATTCATGTACTGAAGAAATCTTGGTTACTTCCAAGTTTTAGCAGTTATGAATAAAACTGTTACAAACACCTGTATGCAGGTTTTTATGCAGACACAAGTTTTAACTCCTTTGCATAAATACCAAGGAGCACAATTGCTGGATCATATAATATGTTAAGGGCTTCCCTTGTAGCTCAGTCGGTAAAGAATCTGCCTGCAGTGCAGGAGACCTGAGTTCGATTCCTGGGTTGGGAAGATCACCTGGAGAAGGAAATGGCAACCCACTCTGCTATTCTTGCCTGGAGAATCCCATGGACAGAGGAGCCTGTCAGGTTACATACAATCTATGGGGTCACAAGAGTCAGATACGACTGAGCAACTAAGCACAGCACACACATAGTATGTTAAGTTTTGTAAGAAACTTCCAGACCATCTTCCAAATTAGCTGTACCATTTTGCATTCCCAAGAGCTGTGAACAAAAGTTCCTGTTGCTCCACTTCCTCATTAGCACTTGGTGTTATCAGTGTTCTGCATTTTGACCATTCTAATTCCCAGGTAGCTCAGTGGTAAAGAGTTAACCTGCCAATGCAGAAAACATGGGTTTGATTCTTTTGTCAGGAAGATCCCCTGAAGAAGGGAATGCAACCTATTCTAGTATTCTTCCCTGGGAAATCCCAGGGACAGAGGAGCCAGACAGGCTGCAGTCCATGGGATTGCAAAGTCAGACACGACTTAGCAACTAAAACAACAACAGTTGTGTAGCAGTATCTCTTTGTAACCTGCATTTCTTTGATGACATATAATGTGGAGTATCTTTTCAACTGTTCATTTGCCATCTGTGTATCTTCCTTGGTGAAATGTCTGTTAAGGTCTTAGGCCTATATTTATTTATTTTTGGCTATGTTGGGTTTTCATTGCTAAACATGGGCTTTCTCCAGTTGCAGTGAGTGGGGGCTATTCTCTAGTTGTGGTGTACAGGCTTCTCATTGCAGTGGCTCCTGTTTTTGCAAAGCATGGAATCTAAGGTACTCAGGCTTCAGTAGTTGTGGTTGGAGGGCTCCAGAATGCAGGCTCAGTAGTTGTGGTGCACAGGGTTTGTTCTTCCATGACATGTGGAATCTTCTTGGACCAGGCATCGAATCTCTGTCCCCTGCTTTGGCAGGCAGATTCTTTACCTCTGGACCACCAGAGAAGTACCCCATTTTTAAAATTGGGTTGTTTGATCTCCTTGTTGAGTTTTAAGTCTGTGCCTTGTCATCTCACTCTCTTACTTTTTGTCTTTTGCACAGCAAGACTTTTAAATTTAATGAAGTACAACTTATCAGTTATTTCTATCATACATTGTGTCTTTGATATTGTATCTAAAAAATCATCACTATATCTGATGTCATCTATATTTTCTACTATGTTATCTCTTAGGAGCTTTATATTTTGTCTTTTACTAAGGCCTTTGATCCATTTTGAGTTATTTTCTTTCTTCTATTTTTGACCATGCCTTGCAGCATGTGGGATCTTATTCCCCCACCAGGGATTCAACCCATGTCCCCTGCATTGGAAGTGCAGAGTCCTAATCACCAGACTGCCAGGGATGTCCCATTTTGAGTTATTTTTTTGTGAACAGGATAAGGTCTGTGTCTAGCTTTTGTGGGGTTTTTTGTCTATTTTTTTTTTGATACCTAGTTATTTTAACACCATTTGTTAAAACTATACTTTCTCCATGTAATTGCTTTTTCTCTTTTGTTGACAATCAGATGACTATATGTGGTTGTACTTCTGGGCTTTTTATTCTGTTCCTTTGGATACCACACTGTTTTGATTGTTGTTGTTCAGTTCCTAAGTCATGTCTCACTCTTTGCGACCCCATGAACTGCAGCACACCACGCTTCCCTGTCTTCACTGTCTCCTGGAGTTTGCTCATTTCTGTCAGTCATTTCACTTATTTATAGGCACATACACACATAAAATTGAATACATTGCTGCTATTATTTTGAACAAACTGTTATATGTTAGTTAATTAAGAATAAGAAAAACAAGTTTGTTTTTTTTTGAAAAAAAAGTTTTTATTTTACCTTCACTTATTCCCTCTTCAGTCCTTCTCTTTCTTTATGTAGATTCAAGTTTCCAACCTACCTGATTTCCCTTCTCCCTAAAGAACTTTTAACATTTCTTGCAAGGGATTCCCTCAAGCTTCGTTTGTCTGAAAGTCTTTATTTCTCCTTCACTTTTTTTGGGAAGAAGTTTATTTTTAAAAATTTTAACTGTGCTAGGTCTTCATTGCAGCACACAGGCTCTTTGTTGGGCATCGAGTTGCAGTGTGCGAGGGCTTCTCTAGTTGTGGCACATGGACTTTAGAGTGTGCAGGTTCAGTAGTTGGTGCACACAGGCTTAGTTGCCCCACAGCATGTGGGATCTTAGTTTCCCAACTAGGGATTGAACCTGGATCCCATGCATTGGAAGGTGGATTCTTAATCACTGGCCCACCAGGGAAGTCCCTCTCTTTCACTTTTGAAGAATAATTTCACAGGGTACATAATTCTTTAAGTTGGTGGTATTTTTTTTCTCTCAACACTTTAAATATTTCACTCCACTTTCTTCCTGTTTGCATGGTTTCTGAAAAGAAGTTAGATGTAATTCTTATCTCTCTTACTTTATGGGCGAAGCATTTTATTCCTCTGATTTCTTTAAGAGTTTTTTCTTTATCTTTGATTTCTTTGAGTTAAATTATATGCATGGGTATAATATTATTGGCATTTATCCACTTCTTATTCTTAGAGCTTCCTGAGTCTGTGATTTAGAGTCTGACATTACTTTGGGAAATTTCTCAGTCATTAATATTTCTTCTGTTCCTTTCTCTTTCTTCTGGTATTCCCATTATGTATATGTTACACCTTTTGTATACCCACAATCCCTGGATATTCTGTTCTGTTTTGTTTTTGTGATTGTTCTCTTTACTTTTCACTTTTCAAGGATTCTATTGATAGATCCTCTAGCTCAGAGATTCCTCAGCCATGTCCTGTATACTGAGTCCATCAAAGGCATTCTTCATTTCTGTTACAGTGGTTTTCATCTCTGGTATTTCTTTTTGGTTCTTTGTAGGATTTCCATCTCTCTACTTATGTTATTTATCTGTTTTTGCTTGCTGTCTACTTTATCCTTTAGCCCTAGGGTTGCTTGGCAGCCCTTCTTAGAGTATACTTACTTATGGACAGAGCCAATATCTTGTAGCTATTAGTGCTAAGCACATACTAGATGTTCAAGTAAATGTCAGACGAGTGGCTTAATGCTCCACTTGACGATGTGTTACTGTGCTGGTCACATTCTAGTCTCACACGGTGCCGTAAATCAAAATCAGTGTGTTCATAAAACATACTGCAACCTAAAAGATTAGTGCGTTTAGGCTTATTTAGACCAAAGGAAACAGTTTTTAGAGTTTCAGAAATTGCGTTCTTATTCTCTACTATTGAAGCAAGGATTGTTTTGGAAATTAAAAATTGTAATTTCATTTATTTTACCAAGATACACATAAAGTTTTCTTCTACATCAAATACCTTTTAAAATCAGTGTCCATTTTAGAGCTATATTTAGAGTTAGTGGTGTAAGTATGGTAGTGTGTCCATCTGTGGAATAAATTCAAATCTTTCTCCAAAGAATGTTGTTATGTGCCACAGCATACAAAGGCCATGCATGGATAAAAAGTGATAACCTACCAAAAACCGTACATCTATTTTGGCTCTTTAACATCTAAGGATTGTCAAAGCCTATAAGATTTTAAAACAAATTTTAATTGTGAGAAAATATGTGTGTGTGCATGCTAAGTTGCTTCAGTCGTGTCTGGCTCTCTGTGATCCTGTGGACTGCAGCCATTAAGCTCCTCTGTCCACGGGATTCACCAGGCAAGAATACTGGAGTGGGTTGCCATGTCCTCCTCCAGGGGATCTTCCCGACCCAGAGATTGAACCTGCGTCTCTTGTATCTCTGGTATTGGCAGGCAGGTTCTTTACCACTAGTGCTGAAATATACTATCTTAACCATTCTTGAATGTAGCTCAGTAGTGTTTAGTACATTCACATTTCTGTATAACCAATCTCCAGAACTCTTTTCACCTTGTACAATGAAACTGAAACTCTTTACACATCAAATAACTCTTATTCCCTCTTCCCCCAGCCCTTGGCAACTATCATTCTGCTTTCTATCTCAGTGAATTTGACTGTTGTCAGTACCTCATATAGGTGGAATCATACATACTTGTCTTTTTGTGACTGTCTTATTTAACTTAGTGTACTGTCCTTGAAGTTGATCCATGTTGCATGCATCCAAATTTTCTTGCTTTTGGGACTTCCCTGGTGTGTCCCAGGGACTTTCCCAGTGGCTAAGACTCCATGCCCCCAATGCAGGGAGACTGAGTTTGATCCCTGGTAGGTGAAGTAGATCTCACCTGCCACAACTAAAACTCAGAGCAGCCAAATAAATAAATAAATATTTAAAAAAAATTTTCCTTTCTTTGAAAGGCTGAATAATGTTACATTGTATGCATATACCACATTTCGTTTATTCATTCATCTGTTGATGGACACTTGGGTTGCTTCCACCTTTTGGCTATTATGAATAATGCTGCTATCAACATAGGTATGCAGATATCTCTTCAAGACCCTGCTTTTAGTTCTTTTAGATTTAAACCCACAAGTGGAATTCCTAGATCATATGGTAGTTCTATTTTTCATTTTTGTAGTAACATTCATATTGTTTTCCATAGCAGCTGCACCATTTTGCATTATTTTTTTTTGATGGTAGTTATCCTAATGAGTGTGAGATGGTGTCTCATTGTGGTTTTGATTTGTAATTCTCTAATGATTAGATGTAGAACATCTTTTCATGTGCTTGTTGGCAGTTTGTATATCTTTTTTTAGAAATGTCTATCCATATCCTTTGCCCAATTTTTTAAAAAAAATATTTATTTATTTTTAGTTATGATGGGTCTTCATTGCTTTGTATGGGCTTTATCTAGTTGCAGTGAATGGGGGCTACTCTTTGTTGTGGTGTGTGGATTTCTCATTGTGGTGCTTCTCGTTGCAGAGCACAGGCTCTAGGCACACAGGCTTTAGTAGCTGTAGCACATGGGCTCAGTAGTTGTGGCTCCCCGATTCTAGAGCACTGGCTCAATAGTTTTGGCTCATGGGCTTAGTTGCTCCGTGGCATGTGGAACTTCCCAGACCAGGGATCAAACCTGTGTCCCTTGCATTACAAGGCAAATTCTTATCTACTGTGCCACCAGGGCAGTCCCTTTGCCCAACTTTCTTTTTCCTGTGCCCAATTTTTAATGTGTGTTTTTTAGTTGTAGGAGTTCTTTATGTTGTCTCAATATTAGCCCCTTATCAGATATATTATTTTTTTCCCATTGCTTTTTCACTGTTGATTGTGTCTATAGACTACAAGTTACTTTTAAAGAGCTGATTTGGTGTAAAGATGTTATATTAGTAATCATGGAAATACAAATTATAATAATGGTGTTATTATATAAATTATATATTATATAAATGTTATATGATTATATGTATTATATAAGTTAAATTATATATATTATATACATTGTTACAATATTTACCCATTAGATCAACTTTTGGCAAGAATGTGAAGAAACATACCTTCCTGTGTTGCTGGGTAGGAGTATAAATTGGTACAGCCACTTTTGAAGGCATGTTGGCTCTATCCATCTTCATTTAAAATGTTTCTACTCTATGAACTAATTATTCCATTTCTAGAGAAACATTCTCACATATATACAGGAAAATAAGTACATGACTATTTCTTTTTTTGTGTGTGACTATTTCTTAAAACATCCTTTTTAATTGGGAAAAAAGGAAAAAACTAAATTGCCAACAATAGCATAATTATTTAATAAACTATGAGAGCATATATCTCAACCTCAATATATATATATATATGCTGTGCTTAGTCACACAGTCGTGTCCACCTCCTTGTGACCCCATGGACTGTAGCCCTCCAGGCTCCTCTGTCCATGGGGATTCTCCAGGCAAGAATATTGGAGTGGGTTGCTATGCCTTCCTCCAGGGGATCTTCCCAACCCAGGGATTGAACCCAGGTCTCCCGCATTGCAGGTGGATCCTTTACCATCTGAGCCACCCATATATATATGGCGCTTCCCTGGTGTGTGTGTGTATATATATACACACATACACATATACTGTTATGGATAGATCTCTCAAACATGGTTGAATAAAAAAAGCAAAATGAAATGCAGAATGTTTCAGTTAATATGATACCATTTTTGTTAAATAAGGCAGACACAAAACAATATTATGTTTTCTGTTGGTATATACACATGTATGTGAATAAATTCAGAAAGGTCTATAAATGGTAATAGTGGCTGGCAGAATGGACTGGAGCTGGTCTTTATAACCCTGTAATTTTTTGTTTTTAATTTCATACAGGAAATGGATTTCATATATTACATAGGTCTTTTAGACACATATGTATATATGTATGTTTTAAATCCAAAGGTGGTATAGTAGTCGCTGCTTATCCACAGGGGATACATTCTAAGACTCTGAAACTGCAAATAGTATTGAACCCTATATGTAACTTTTTTTTTCCTATACATACATATGTACATACCTACCTATGATAAAATTTAACTTATAAATTAGGCACAGTAAGAGTATCAATAATAATAAAAAAATAGAAGAATTAAAACAATATAGGCTCAGATGGTAAAGAAGGTGCCTGCAATGCAAGAGACCCAGGTTTGATCCCTTGGTTGGGAAAATCCCCTGGAGAAGGGAATGACAACCTACTCCAGTATTCTTGCCTGGGAAATCCCATGGACGGAGGAGCCTGATGGTCTACAGTCCATGGGGTCGTAAAGTATCTGGATGACTGAGCGACTAACAGATTCACTGTAATGAAAGTTATGTGAGTGTGGTCTCTCTCACAATATATTATTATACAAATTTATCTTTTCTATCTTGATTAAGCACTTACCACTTACTGTAATTTTTGCAGTGGAACAGCAAAGTTAGCACAGATTTCTTTTCCTTTACAATTTCACAAATATAGCAACCTCAGAAAGTGATTTTTTTTTTCTGTCCTTATTGAGAGCTTTCACCTTTCCACTTAAAGGAAGCACTTTATGGCTTCTCTTTGGCATATCTGAATTGCCAACATCACTATTCTTGTGTTTTGGGGCATTATTAAGTAAAATAAGGGTTACTTGAAGCACTTTATGGCTTCTCTTTGGCATATCTGAATTGCCAACATCACTATTCTTGTGTTTTGGGGCATTATTAAGTAAAATAAGGGTTACTTGAATACAAGTATTGTGATATCACAACAGTTGATCTGAAAACCAAGACAGCTACTAAGTGACTAATGGGTGGGATATGCTGGACAAAGGGATCATTCACATCCTGGGTAAGATGGTGAGAGATTTCATCACACTGCTCAGAATGGCTGCAATTTAAAAATTTTGAATTGTTTATTTCTGGAATTCTCCATTTAGTATTTTTAGACTGCAGTTGACCACGGGTAACTTAAACTTTAGAAAGTGAAACTGTGGACAAGTGGGGACTACCATATAAATAAACAACTATTGAAGAGTTTGGTTTAAAATTTGGGAAGCACTTTGGCAGCATGAACACTACTCAGGGTCTGGTTCTTAGTTTTGCAGACTCAAACTGAATTTTTAACAGCATAGCCAGAATTTATCTAGCTCTGCAGACTTTGTGTACACTCGCCAAACCATAAAAATCCATGGACATTGGTAACCAAAGAGCTAATTTTTAAATTGACTAATTCAGCATCTTTTACTGCCCAGAAAGCCAAACTAATCATATACCTAATCAGTATACCCTCTAAAACTACTTTTAGAAGGGTTACTCTTAAGTATAGAATCAAAGCAAGGGAGTGGGTTATTTTATTGGTTGATGTCTTTAAGTTATAGTTATTTTATAGAAGCCAATCTCTGTCAAAGGGTTACCTGCTGAGGGTACCTGAATGCTTGCATCTGTTGGTGAACATCTTTTCCCTGTTAACATTTTCTATTTTACAAGTATTAGCACATCAGGAAAGATACAATGCAAATGAGTAGGTCATAGATTCTTTACCTTAGCAATTCCAGTGTTATCTTAAGAATACCATGGTCTCATGACAGAGAAATGTTATGCTTATTACTAAATACTTATGAACTTTTTAGAATTGACTATTTCTGCCAATTGGCTACCATTTTGTATTGGTTTTCCCTACAATAGAGCACTCTCTTACCCCGATCTTGTTTCCTCCACATTAAGAATGTGCTCTATTTGAAGCTTACCTAAGCTGCTGCTGCTGCTGCTAAGTTGCTTCAGTCGTGTCTAACTCTGTGTGACCCCATAGACAGCAGCCCACCAGGCTCCCGTCCCTGGGATTCTCCAGGCAAGAACACTGGAGTGGGTTGCCATTTCCTTCTCCAATGCATGAAAGTGAAAAGTGAAAGTGAAGTCGCTCAGTCGTGTCCGACTCTTCGCGACCCCATGGACTGCAGCCTACCAGGCTTCTCTGTCCATGGTATTTTCCAGGCAAGAGTACTGGAGTGGGGTGCCATTGCCTTCTCCTCTTACCTAAGCTACATGAGACAATTTTAGTTCTCATAAATGTATTCTTTTTTTGCATAATCTCTGAACAGATTAAAGTAATTGTGGTATGGGAAATTTTCCATTTTAAAGGAGTAAAATGTAGGTTTCTTAGCTAGGAATTTATATTTTGTCAGTAAAGTGTACTAGTTAAGGTCACAAGCAGCCTTGGGTTTGACTCTTGGCTCCATAACTTACCACTTTCCTTAGATGAATCACTTAACCCACCTAAACCTGGGCTTATTTGTCTTTGTAAAATGCCTAAATTTCAAGATATTTGCTGTTAAGATTATTTTTTTGGTAATTTGTATTCTCATGAACTATTTTTTGTTCAGCTAAACATGAATTCAGCTCCAACTTTCATCAACTTTCCTGCAAAAGGGAAGCCCAAACGGGGTGATACATATGAGTTGCAGGTGCGTGGATTTTCAGCTGAGCAGATTGCCCGGTGGATTGCTGACAGAACTGATGTCAATGTAAGTTTCCTTGCTTTGTAGAAAGTTACTTTGTCATTATCCACTTATTCTTCTGGGAGGTCCTAATTGGTCTCGTCCTCATATCACTGAGATGGTGACAGTTTGTCAGTCCCTTTATAAGTAGCATTTAACAGAATCATCCTGATGAAAGAATGATGTTAAAACATCCTCTATTACTTAGTCAACTCAGCATGGAAACCACTCTTTCATCCTTATTAAATCCATGGTGTATCTAGTTGTACTTGGCAGATACTTCTTAATCTAGAAGATGTATATGTGTGCTCAGTCGCTTCAGTCGTGTCCAGCTCTTTGCAGCACCATGGACTGTAGCCCACCAGGCTCCCCTGCCCATGGGATTCTCCAGGCAGGAATACTGGAGTGGGTTGCTGTTTCCTCCTCCAGGGGATCTTTACAACCCAGGGTTCAAACCCTTGTCTCCTGCATCTCCTGCCTTGGCAGGTGGATTCTTTACCACTAGCGCCACCTGGAAAGTCCCTAAAAGATGTTATGTTGTGGTTAAAAAGAATATTGCATCCATTCCATTTTAGGATACATTGTAGGCTATTTTAATAAGGATGAAAAGAAAAAGTGTGATTTTTCATGAAAGTAACCACACTAATTTTGATTGTTTTCATTTCAAATTATTTTGATCTATATACTTAATGAATAAATTTCATACTGTAAAATGTTTTTCTCTCCTTTTCATTAGATTAGAGTAATTAGACCCCCAAATTATGCTGGTCCCCTTATGTTGGGATTGCTTTTGGCTGTTATTGGTGGACTTGTGTATCTTCGAAGGAGCAATATGGAATTTCTCTTTAATAAAACTGGATGGGCTTTTGCGGCTCTGGTGAGTGAATGTTGGAAGAAAAATTGTTTAGATAAAACTTCTAATAGTACATTGTTATGTGGCATTTTATTTATTTCTTACCCGTGGAAAAAGATTTTATGTATTGATATTTTTATTTTATACCTTAAAATCAGTTTGTTTCCTCCATTATCTCATTAGGATGGCAAGAAATTGAAGTAACTCCTTGTACCTAGTTTTTATTCAACCTGAAAGACTGTCACCCCTATGAAAATCTCCATTTTTTTAAACCATTCTTCTAAAAGGCTTTTCAGTATTCAATTTTAAACTTGTATCAGTTTGTTTATAATTTTGAAACAGTGCTTTCCTTTCAAAGTAAATATTGATTCTTGTGATCCTTATGATGAAATATAAGCTTTTTGTCATTTATCTGGAAATTTTTTTTCATATATTACTTGAGAGGATATATTTTTCATATACCTGTTAATCTAATTAAAATGGGACCATACCATATTATATGAGTATTTCATTACTTTTTGTTTCCTAGTGTTTTGTGCTTGCTATGACATCTGGTCAAATGTGGAACCATATAAGAGGACCACCGTATGCTCATAAGAATCCCCACACGGGGCATGTGGTAAGGGAAGTCCAGGATTTCTTTACATTATATACCAAAGTTAACCTTAATGATTAATATCCTGTGAGATCAGTGCTAGTATATGAAGGAACTAGATTTAGTTTTGACTTTTCAATCGCTCTGTATTAATGAAATTTGATTGCTAAAAAGACTGTGCCATACTCTTAAACAGGGGAAGTTTTTTTTTTAATCCCTTTTGGTGAGTTCTTTTGAGTAAGCTGGCTAAGAGTGAAAGTCAGTCTTCAGCTAAATAGAATAATTGATCAAGTACTTGATGATTTACTGTTTCTAGGCACTGTGCTAGGTATTATTAGATACAGTGATAAGAAAAATGTAGTCCCTGTTTTCATAGAGTTTATATTATTTTACCTCATGGTCTTGTACACTAAAATACTAGTTTTCTCATATATTCTGTTGTGGAAAATGTAGTATAAGTATAGTGAATAAATACAAATATATATAAGTATGAGTAAATAATAAATAACACAGAGATAGCTTTTATTTTAGTCAAACTTTTTACTGGTGAATTCTACAGATCCAATGTTTACATACATCAGATGAATTAATAATTTCATAGTGTTTAAAAATAGCCAATTTTAGGATTACATTACCAAATTTTAACATTTATTTAAAGATTAAATTTTGTCTTTTTTTCCCCCAGAATTATATCCATGGAAGCAGCCAAGCTCAATTTGTAGCTGAAACACACATTGTTCTTCTGTTCAGTATCCTCTTTATAATAAGTTCTTGATGCCACATTTACTTTGTCTATTTTCTCACTTTCCAATATTTTCTCTGTAGCATTTGGTTGAGGCTGCTGTCTTATTAATGCAAGTCATAATATCTTTGGAATTATATTACTGTGTCACTTGCCCTAGCCCAATCAACTGAAGACCTCTAGGGACAAACCTGCAGTCTGATAAAGCCAAGTTTATTGGATCATTGCTACAAGGGAGACTATAAATCAGAGGAATCATGGGATTTCTTACCTAAGGAAAGATAGAGTTGTTATAGGACTTAGGAAAAGATGGTGCTTAGATGAAATGTAAATGAAGCAATGTTTTGATGAGCTCAAAGCAAAGCCAGGCTAAGTGTAAAGGGGTCAGTGTCAAGTCTGGACTGAGGTGGATCCAGGATTTTGTTTCCTGGAAACTACAAAGTTCAGATAAATGTACACTTTGTTTTCAGAAACTCCTTTTTTTTCATTTATTTTTATTAGTTGGAGGCTAATTACTTTACAATATTGTAGTGGTTTTTGCCATACATTGACATGAATCAGCCATGGATTTACATGTGTTCCCCATCCCGATCCCCCCTCCCACATCCCTCCCCATCCCATCCCTTTGGGTCTTCCCAGTGCACCAGCCCTGAGCACTTGTCTCATGCATCCAACCTGGGCTGGTGATCTGTGAAACTCCTTTTTTGAAGCTCTGTCACTTTGGTTCTGAATTGAGGCTATTTAGAAATTGTACTTGTAGATCGCGTGACTTAAATCCTCCAGGTAAGAATGGAATATTTCCTTCTTACTTATGTAGTTCAAATCAGTTTATGATTTTAGATTACAGTGTTCCTCATTGAGTAGGAAAGCAGTAGTTACTCAAAGATGGAGTTTGTTTTGACATTTACAGCTGCAGCGTGTCTTAGGGAGAAATATTATTTCCCGTGAATTATGCAGCTACTTTATATGTGTGTTTTCCCGTCCTCTGTCCCATAGGACAGATTTTTACTTTCTCACATCTGAAAATAGATGTCTCTGTAAGCTGCAAAGGTAGATAACAGTGATATCAGATAGGTAAGAGTATACATTTCTTAGTATTACTGAACATAGTTTACCTACCTGATTGCATAAGCAGTGACTCTGTGAAACAGATCAACAAGGTGAACAGATGTAATGTTCTTTTAAGTTGTGCGAACAGGCAAGGGGTCCTGGTATTGACATATTGTAATCAGTTGTAGCCCAGACGGTTAGAGAATCTGCCCAGTGACTTGATGGTAATGTCATTTGCCCTGCTTTGTGTCATCTGGATGATTTAGAGGAATTCCAGTTTTTTGTAGTTATAGACATACTTTTCATACAGTTTAGCTTTTTAGTGTATTATAAGCATTTAATAAATTGCATATGGCCTTCATAGTTATGAAATGCATGAGAATTACAGAAAAATAAGAAAATATAAGCAAGGAAAAGGAAAATAGTCACCATTATCAAATGTCCTCCAGGGGATCTTCCCAACCCAGGAATCAAACCCAGGTCTCTCGCATTATGGGCAGATTCTTTACTATCTGAGCCACCAGGAAAGTCCATAATGGATATATCATAATTCAGTTATTCTCTATTGGTGAATATTGCAAAAAATGTTTTCTTGCACATAAAAATAATTGATGGACTTCCCTGGCAGTTCAGTGGTTAAGACTCTATGCTTCCATTGCAGGGGGCACAGGCTCAATCCCTGACCAGGAAACTAAGATCCTACATGCCTCACAGCACAGCCACCCCCCAATAGAGGGTGGGAAATACATATGTGCCAGAAATACATATGTACTATGCTATCCCTGGCAAGTCCTAATTATTGTTATGTATTATTTTTTTAAACTGCTATTTCAGTAGGAAAAGAAATTGTTTAAATATAATTTGGACGATAATAATCAAAGTAACTTAAACATTTCTTCACAATTCTATAATTATGTTTAATTTTATACAAATATCTTTGTCTTTATCATCTATGATACACTTTATTTTACTGGCTCTTTTATTTTTATTTTTTATTGAGGTATCATTGGTTTACAATATTGTGTTGGTTTCAGGTATACAGATAGTGATTCAGGTTTTTTTAGGTTATATTCCATTATAGGTTATTACAGGATTTTGAATATAATTCCCTGTGCTATAAGTAAATCCTTGTTGCTTATCTATTTTATATATAGTAGCTTGTATTTGTTAATCCCATACCCCTAATTTGTCCTTCCCTCCCTCTTCCCTTTCATAATCAAGTTTGTTTTCTATGCCTATGAGCCTGTTTCTGTTTCATACATGGATTTATATATATATATAATGTACCATGCTCATGCTTAGTTGCTCAGTCATTTGTGATTCTTTTTGCAACCCCACGGACTGTAGTCCACCAGGCTCCTCTGTCCATGGGATTCTCCAGGCAGGAATACTGGATTGGGTAGCCAGTCCCTTCTCCAGAGGATCATCTTGGTCCAGAGATCGAACCTGGATCTCCTGCATTGCAGGCAGATTCTTTACTATCTGAGCCACCAGGGAAGCCCTATATATATATATATATATATATATATATATATATATATATATATATATATATACCCATATATGTGCATATACTCCCTTCCCCCACATTTTGTGATTTTGATGTCCTGTTTTACATCTTCATGCTCATCCTTTTTACTGTTCATTGTAGTTATAATCACTTTTACAATTTTTAAATTGTTTTTTAAATCCATACACTGGTTTATTTAAGTGCTCTCTTTTTTTTTATTTAAGTGATCTTAAATCCTTCTATATATTTGCCTTTCCTAATGTGATTTTTTCCCCTTTCCCATATATACTTGCTTCTTTTCTATTTAGAGAAGACATGTCAATATTTCTTTTAGGGTAGGTTTAGTATTGCTGAATAGTTTTAGTTTTCACTTGTCTGAGAAATTTTTCCTCTCTCCTTCCATTCTAAATGATAATCTTGCTGAGTATCGTACCCTAGGTTTCAGGTTTTTCCTTCACAGGACTTTGAATATATCATGCCACTCCCTTCTAGCAGTGTTTCTACAAAGAAATCAGCTAGTAGCCTTATTGGCATTCTCTTGTAACTGACTCTCTTTTTCCCTCTTGCTGCCTTTAGAATCCTCTCTTTATCTAGTTCCTTGTTATAATGATCTGCATTTCTATCCATCATCTTTCTTAAATCAGTTCTTTTTATTACCACCTTTTTGAACTTGGGGTCTAGTAGACTGGTGAGCTCTATTTCATTGTTTTTTCTTTCAGGGGATTTCTGTTGTTCTTTAATTGGAAGTGGTTCCTCTGCCTTTGTGTTTTTGGTTGGTGGTTTTTTTTTTTTGCCACACTTGCTGTATGCAAGATCTTACTTCCCTGGATAGGGATCAAACCCTTGCCCCTTGCAGTAGAAATTTGAAGTCTTAACCACTGGACTGCCAGGGAAGTCCCTGCCTTTACATTTTACTTACCTTTCTCTGTCTCTATGACTTCAGGAGAAAAAATTATCTACTGTGATTTTAAAGGGGTGTTTTTAAGTGGGAGCATCCCTGTATAGACTGTGTATGTCCAGTGTTTCTGCTGCAAGGTAGTTTTGGTATGGAAGCCAGCCACGTCTTCCCTCGGGGTGTGCTGGCCATTGTCCCCTTGATAGGGGATGTGATTGGTGTTGGAGTATCTGGAGCCTGTGCTAGACTGAGGCGGAGCTTCCTCTCTGCTCTGTGGTTGTCACTGTCCTGTCAGGGATAGCGTCTGCTCCTCAGTTGTTGGAGTAGAAACCCTGAAGTTCAGGTTCAATCAGGCTCTACTGCCCTTGAATGCATGCCCTGCCCCAAAAGAGGTGATTGCTGAAGCAAGTGAGGCCTGTGCAGTCGCAGAGGACTTATATGCTGTCTGTGTAAATGTATATGGTTCCACTCAGAAGCAGCACAAGGTTGCGTCCCTTTGTTGTGTTTGTCCTAGATCTAGTGCAAGGCTGTGGTGAGGAATAGGCTGAGGATTGGGGCCTTGTGGCAGCAGGAATTGAGATGGCTGCAATGCCACAAGAGATCTGGGCTGCCTCTGTGGCAGTCGTCTCCCAGGACCTGTCTGTCTCAGATCAAGGGCTAAGCTGGGGTGTGGAGTGGATGGAGGCTGAGCGCAGCTGGGATAGAACCACTGTGTACACCCAGACCACACCCCCGGCCCTCCAGTCTGTCCTACATGAGTCCTGTCCCTGAGTCTCTCTGCCTGGTATTTCAGCACTTAGCTGCTGCCTGTTTTTGGAGTACCACCCCAGGCAAGCTGATATGTCTCTGTATAGTTAGGCCGAGTCTTTCCCCAGGTCTCATGCCAGGCTGTGGTGTGGAGTGAGCACAGCCAGTGTCTCCTCCGCCCCTTCAGTTTGGAGTTGTGGTGAGGTGACAGCCAGCAGTGCAAGGCTCTGTCCGCTCTGCCATCATGTGTGTGCTCCTTGCAGGCAGAGTCTAGGCTCCTCTTGCCCTTTTGTCTGTCCTAGTGGATTTCCCAGAAGGCAAGGACTGGGATACTCAGATTGTGGCTCCACGTGATCACTCCCCAGAGTGAGGATCTGCCTTTGTGGACCTTCTCTTCCTTACAGATCCCTCTGAGATGGGTAGGTCCTAAGCTGACACTTTGCTGGTTACATGGAGATCTTTCTTGCAGTTTTGGTTGTATAGGATTTCTTCTACCAGTATCCAGTTAGTTTTCCATGAGAATTATTCCAGTATAGATGGTTTTTTGGCATGTGTGTTGGGGAGAGGTGAGCTCTACATTCTCCTTCCTACTCTGCCACCTTGTACCACAAATCTATTAGCTTGTTTAATAGCCTAGTTCCTGTTTGTTATATAATAACACCTCCTCTATTTTCTATTCAGTTCTCTCAGGGTAAGATGATTATGTAAGTATTTATTGTTTGTATCCCCTACTAGAGTGTAAACTTGTTCAAGGAATGGTCTATATTTCCTCTAACTTTGTAACTCCAACTAATAGTGCCTGCCTATAATAGACAGTGTTAGTAAAAGTTTAAAGAGTCTATAAATGAAATAAAGCAATACATATGGAAGTGCATCATAGCTCTTGATAGCTAAGAACAACAGCACACAAAGACCTTGATGGTATAGTGTAAGATGGAAAGCTCTAGACCATGATACAGAAGCAAACCAGTCCAAAAACAAGTCTCGACCATTAATCAGAGTATCTATAGCCAGAGCCTTTAGAAATGATCAATCTTCATGCATGTGTGTGTATTAGTCACTCAGTTGTGTCCAACTCTTTGTGATGCCCACCAGGCACCTCTGTCCATGGGGATTCTCCAGGCAAGAATACTAGAGTGGGTTGTCATGCCCTCCTCCAGGGGATCTTCCCAACCCAGTGATTGAACTCAGGTCTCCCACATTACAGGCAGATTCTTTACCAGCTGAGCTACCAGGGAAGCCCAAGAATACTGCAGTGGGTAGCTTATCCCTTCTCCAGGCCGTCTTCCCAACCCAGGAATCTACCTGGGGTCTCCTGCATTGCAGGCAGATTCTTAACCAGTTGAGCTACCAGGGAAGCCCATCTTTATGCATACCTGCATATAGGTATGTAGAGGTGTATAATATACAGAATCCTAGTAAGGTGTATAATAAAGAATCCTAGTAAGAAAAAAAAAAATCACTGGAGAAAACAACTTAGCTAAGCACAAAACCACGAATGAGTATCATCCCTAAAAAAGACTATTAAAAAGAGTGTGTAAAATGGTAATGAAAGGATGAACAGACAAATTTAGAGCCAATTATAAATTCAGGCCTTATCTGAACACCTATTTTTCCCTTTCTGCTTAATTTTACCCACATGAGATAGCATACATTGTGCATGTGTATATGAATAATTAATATGAGCATTTTAAATTAATCTTTGTATTCACCAAACTGCAGGGTGAATCTCTCTTTTCTACTTGAACACATTCTATTTTGTTTCAGAATTTTATTTTTCTTATTTTACTATTCAACCAAGCCATGTACTACCTATTTGGAAGAGTATGTCTATTTTGTATTTATGTAGCTTCTATATTCGGAGAAGGCAATGGCAACCCACTCCAGTTCTCTTGCCTGGAAAATCCCTTGGATGGAGGAGCCTGGTAGGCTGCAGTCCATGGGGTCGTGAAGAGTCGGACACGACTGAGCGACTTCACTTTCACTTTTCACTTTCATGCACTGGAGAAGGAAATGGCAACCCACTCCAGTGTTCTTGCCTGGAGAATCCCAGGGACGGGAGCCTGGTGGGCTGCCATCTGTGGGGTCGCACAGAGTCGGACACGACTGACGTGACTTAGCAGCAGCAGCAGCTTCTATATTAAGCTGAATAAAAGTGAAGTCATGGCTCATAGGATTCTCCTTTTTTAAAAAAATAGGACAATTTAAGTAGTTTAGTAGTAATTTGTGCTTTGAGGTTAATTGTTGAAATTCTAAAAAATATTTGCTAAGTTATTTTTCAAATAAAAGTTGCTGTTCTCTCTAAATGGTGTACATTTCAAATGTGTTCCTTTTTGGCAAGTAGTTGAAATATTCAAAATGGCTACTTAATTTATTTTAATGTATACAAAATTGACTCAGTAGTTGGAAGAATGTTTCAGAAGTTTATTTCAAAGTACAATTTTAGAGGAAAACTCATGTTTTATCTATAAGTTATAGTGGGACATTTGTTTAAAATATCAGTTTATTTGTACAAATTAAGTAATTTTCTAACCTTAATTTTTTATTACATCTTCATAGTAAATAACTGTCATACTATATAGGCACACAATTACTTGGTTATGGGGAGGATAAATTGGAAGATTGGGATTGGCATATACACATTACTATATATGAAATAGATAATAGGGACCTACTATCTAGCACTTTATGGGCTTCCCTGGTGGCTTAGCTGGTAAAGAATCTGCCTGCAATAAAAGGAGGCCTGGGTTTGATCTCTGGGTTGGGAAGATCACCTGGAGAAGGGAAAGGCTACCCACTCCAGTATTTTGGCCTGGAGAATTCCATGGAGTATACAGTCCACGGGGACACAAAGAGGTGGACGTGACTGAAGGACTTTCACTTTCACTGTATAGCACAGAGAGCTCTACTCAATGCCCTGTAGTGGCCTATATGGGAAAAAAGAATCTAGAAAAGAGTGGATATATGTATAACAGATTCACTTTGCTGCACACCTGAAACTAACACAACGTTGTAAATCAGTTCTACCTGAATACAATTTTTTAAATGATTACTTAGTTATGATTTTTGTAATTGAATTGAAGGTTTATATATTTATTCATTCTATATTATTCTAGGAATATTAAAGTTTGTGTTATTTCTCTCTGTGAATTTCTCCTTAAACAATTTTTCTAAGATGGTGGGGTTACCTTAGGAATGGTGCTTTTATGTGAAGCTGCTACATCTGACATGGATATTGGAAAGCGAAAGAGTAAGTCATATCATATGCCAAGATGTGGCAGTTCTGCCTTTATACAGAAAAATGAATGTCCTCTTACTCACTTCTCCTCTTATATTATTTTACTTTACTGTAGTAATATGTTCTCATTGTAGAAAATGTTGGGGGAAATAAGAGAATGAAACATTTGGAGGGAGAGTAACCCATTATTCCTCCATTGAAAAGCTAATTTTAACATTGTAGTACAAGTTTCTTCCATTTCTAAAAACATCTTTTCAGCTGTATGTATAATATTTTGAATCTTATACACCCCTTTTTAATTGGAGTTAAAATATTTCACTAATATTTTCCCACACATAATTTTTAATTTATTGTTTATGCTATTTATTTAACCAGTCTGATTTTGTTAAACATTTAGTTTTTTCCTTTCGTTATATGAATAGTTATTTAGTGACTATTATGGTATAGATTAAACTTTATCTTCTTTTCATATTAATTCCTTAAAGTAGTATGACTGTATGGTCCTATGTATGAGTATTTTCAGTTATCTTGATGTTTTAAGCTGATGATGCAAATTCTTTACCCAAATGTTTAATAGTTTAGATTCCTACCAGTGGCATTTCAGTATGCTTGTTTTCACTGTAACTTTTTATCAACATTAGAGAACTTTATTAAAAATATGTATGTAAGTGTGTATTTGCTAATCAGATAAAGGGGAAATGTTATATTATTTTGTACTTCTTTGTTTATTATTGTAGTTGAATATTTTCTTACATGTTTATTGGCTGTTTTGTTTTCCTTTGTCTAAAATACCTTTCTGTCTTTTGCCATTTATGTATTAGAATGTTACACTTTTTCCTATTGGTTTGCATGGACTTTTTATTTATTAGAATATTCACATGCTGGCATTTGTTACAAAGAAATGCTAACAATGTAATTTACTTAACATGAAATCAGTTTGAGTTTTTATTTTATGGTTAAAGAGTTAAATGTCATCAAAATTAACCTAGGTTAATAAATCTATCTACTTTCTCCTAGAAAAAAGATGATATTGGATTTTAAATTTGGAAGATAATTTTTTTGTTGAAATGAATTTTTATCTATTAGAAAAATAGAGCTAATGTAGCAATTTTTCATCCAGTCAATATACAACCTTTAATTCCTGACTTTTGAAAAAATGCCTATTTCAGTATTCATTTTTGGGGAAAGGCCATCTGGGTACTACTGCAATGCTGGGATTAATTTAAGTTGTAAAACATTTTGGTGATATATATTAAATTAGTCACAATTATATCTATTTCTAAGATTCTAACCTAATGAAATGATCACAAATATTAATAGTAAATATTTCTTTAGCACTTATTATGTACCAAGAAATTTCCTAAGCACTTTTAGATATGTGAAAAAATTAGAATACAAATATATATTTGGAGTGAAGCTATATATACTTGTATATGTGCATTTGATTAGGAAGAAAAAAGACTTCTACAAAGAGCATGTGTTAATACTCGTAAAAAATTGTTTAAGATTTACATTCTGGACCCCTAATCATATTGTATGAAAATTGTAAAGGGAAAATGGATTATTCTCTAAATATCAGTTCAGTTCAGTCACTCAGTCGTGTCCAACTCTTTGCGACCCCATGAACCGCAGCATGCCAGGCCTCCCTGTCCATCACCAACTCTTGGAGTCCACCCAAACCCATGCTCATTGTGTCGGTGATGCCATCCAACCATCTCGTCCTCTGTCGTCCCCTTCTCCTCCTGCCCCAATCTTTCCCAGCATCAGGGTCTTTTCAAATGAGTCAGCTCTTCACATCAGGTGGCCAAAGTATTGGAGTTTCAGCTTCAACATCAGTCCCTCCAATGAACACCCAAGGACTGATCTCCCTTAGGATGGACTGGTTGGATCTCCTTGCAGTCCAAGGGACTCTCAAGAGTCTTCTCCAATACCACAGTTCAAAAGCATCAATTCTTCAGCGCTCAGCTTTCTTTGTAGTCCAACTCTTACATCCATACATGACTAATGGAAAAACCATAGCCTTGACTAGACGGACCTTTGTTGGCAAAGTAATGTCTCTGCTTTTCGATATGCTGTTTAGGTTGGTCATAACTTTCCTTCCAAAGAGCAAGTATCTTTTAATTTCATGGCTGCAATCACAATCTGCAGTGATTTTGGAGCCCAAGAAAATAAAGCCTGTCAGTATTTCCATTATTTCCCCATATATTTGCCATAAAGTGATGGGGCCGAATGTTCTTCTGTGTATTCTTGCCACCTCTTGTTATCTTCTGCTTCTGTTAGGTCCATAAGGTTTCTGTCCTTTATTTTGCCCATCTTTACATTAAATGTTCCCTTGGTATCTCTAATTTTCTTTTTTATTATTATTTATTTTTTTTCCTTTTATTTTTATTAGTTGGAGGCTAATTACTTTACAATATTGCAGTGATTTTTGCCATACATTGACATGAATCAGCCATGGATTTACATGTGTTCCCCATCCTGATCCCCTCTCCCACCTCCCTCCCCATCCCATCCCTCTGGGTCTTCCCAGTGCACCAGGTCCGAGCACTTGTCTCATGCATCCAACCTGGGCTGGTGATCTGTTTCACCCTTGATAATATACATGTTTCGATGCTGTTCTCTCAGAACATCCCACCCTCGCCTTCTCCCACAGAGTCCAAAAGTCTGTTCTGTACATCTGTGTCTCTTTTTCTGTTTTGCATATAGGGTTATTGTTACCATCTTTCTAAATTCCATATATATGCGTTAGTATACTGTATTGGTCTTTATCTTTCTGGCTTACTTCACTCTGTATAATGGGCTCCAGTTTCATCCATCTCATTAGAACTGATTCAAATGAATTCTTTTTAATGGCTAAAAATATGGAACGCTTCACGAATTTGCGTGTCATTCTTGCGCAGGGGCCATGCTAATCTTCTTGTATCGTTCCAATTTTAGTATATGTGCTGCCGAAGCGAGCACTGTCTAATTTTCTTGAAGAGATCTCTAATCTTTCCCATTCTGTTGTTTTCCTCTATTTCTTTGCATTGATCACTGAGGAAGGCTTTCTTAATCTCTCTTTGTTATTTGGAACTCTGCATTCAGATGGGTATATCTTTCCTTTTCTCCTTTTCTTTTAGCTTCTCTTCTTTTCTCAGCTATTTGTAAGGCCTCCTCAGACAACCATTTTGCCTCTTTACATTTGTTTTTCTTGGGGATGGTCTTGATCACTGCCTCCTGTACAATGTCACGAACCTCTGTTCATAGTTCTTCAGGCACTGTCTATCAGATCTTATCCCTTAAATCTATTTCTTACGTCCACTGTATAAATCGTAAGGGATTTGACTTACGTCATACCTGGATGGTCTAGTGGTTTTCCCTGCTTTCTTCAATTTAAGTCTGGATTTGGCAATAGGGAGTTCATGATCTGAGCCACAGTCAGCTCCCAGTCTTCTTTTTGCTGACTGTATAGAGCTTCTCCATCTTTGGCTGCAAAGAATACAGTCAATCTGATTTTGGTATTGACCATCTGGTGATGTCCATGTGTAGAGTTTTCTCTTGTGTTGTTGGAAGAGGGTGTTTGCTATAACCAGTGCATTCTCTTGCCAAACCTCTTTTAGCCTTTGCCTTGCTTCATTTTGTACTCCAAGGCCAAACTTGCTTGTTACTCCAGGTATCTCTTGACTTCCCACTTTTGCATTCCAGTCCCCTATGATGAAAAGTACATCTTTTTTTGGTATTAGTTCTAGAAGGTCTTGTAGGTCCTCATAAAACTGTTCAACTTCAGCTTCTTCAGCATTAGTGGTTGGGGCATAGACTTGGATTACTGTGATACTGAATGGTTTGCCTTGGAAATGAACAGAGATCATTCTTTCATTTTTGAGATTGCACCCAAGTACTGCATTTCGGGCTTTTTTGTTGACTATGAGGGCTACTCCATTTCCTATACAGGACTCTTGCCCACAGTAGTAGATATAATGGTCATCTGAATTAAATTTGCCCATTCTGGTCCATTTTAGTTCACTTATTCCTAAAATGTCAGTGTTCACTCTTGCCATCTCCTGTTTGACCACTTCCAATTTGCCTTGATTCATGGACCTAACATTCCAGGTTTCTATGCAATATTCTTTACAGCATCGGACTTTACTTCCATCACCAGTCACATCCACAACTGGAGTTGTTTTTGCTTTGGCTCAGTCTCTTCATTGTTTTTGGCGTTATTTCTCCACTCTTCTCCAGTAGCATATTGGGCACCTACCGACCTGGGGAGTTCGTCTTTCAGTGTCATAATCTTTTTGTCTTTTCATACTGTTTATGGGGTTCTCAAGGCAAGAATACTGCAGTGGCTTGTCATTTCCTTCTCCAGTGGACCACATTTTGTCAGAACTCTCCACCATTACCCATCCGTCTTAGGTGGCCCTCCTCAGCACGGCTCATAGTATCATTGAGTTAGACAAGGCTGTGGTCCATGTGATCAGTTTGGTTAGTTTTCTGTGATTGTGATTTTCATTCTGTCTGTCATCTGATGAATAAGGATAAGAGGCTTATGGAAGCTTCCTGATGGGAGAGACTGACTGTGGGTGAAACTGGGTCTTGTTCTGATGTGTGGGGCCAGTAAATCTTTAATCAAGTTTTCTGTTGATGGGTGGGGCTGTGTTTCCTTACTGTTGTTTGAGGCCAAAATGTCAACTGTGTCTCTACTGGAGACTCCTGGACACTCACAGGCAAGTCTGATTCAGTCTCTTATGGGGACACTGCTTCTTTCTCCTGGCTCCTGGTGTGCACAAGGTTTTGTGTGTGCCCTCCAAGAGTCTGCTCCATTATAGTGTAATAGAGAAAATTAAAGGTGAAGGCAGACTCCTGAAGATATAAGAATGGGAATGAAATTTGTTGTAGTTTAGATTTACCAGTAGATATAGCCCTTGCATTTTACTCTTAGAAGTGTAGCCTAAAATTTATGTTCTTACCCTTTACTATGCTTAACATGCTCATTTTACTCTTTTATTTTTCTGCAGTAATGTGTGTGGCTGGTATTGGACTTGTTGTATTATTCTTCAGTTGGATGCTCTCAATTTTCAGATCTAAGTATCATGGATATCCATATAGGTATTATTTTTCATTTGTATAGTGATTACCTATGCTTTCAATGATTAGAATTGATGTGCTTTATAATTTTTTTTACTTTATCTCCAGATTACTCTAGCTTCTGACATAGAGAAAGGCTTTAATTTAGTTATGTTACGTATAGAAATTATAATAATTATGATATAGTGAATAAAACTATGTGATTTCTCAGAAAAATCATTCAGTACTATTCTGACATCACTTAATTGAACCTAGAAATCTATCAAACTCATAATGATTAGAACATTTTTTACCCTCGCACAGTTCCTTATTTGCATACTTTACATCTTTTTGAGGACAAATTATTTTTTAATGTTTTTTCCAAAACTTCTCAGTCTACTTTTCAGGCTGTTTAGGTAGAATAAACAGAACATTTAAGTAGAATCCAATTTGTATACTGTAGAATAAGAAAGAGTGTTTAAGAAGGTCTAATTGACTTGAAATATTCATAGCGATCTCTAAAGCTCAGAGAAGAAATTATTCTCCTAGTTATAACTTCTTCATTTTATTCTGTTAATAGCCAAAAGAAATGTACCTGTACACAACAGGCAATATCATGAGTTAGTTTTATAATCTGAGTGCCATTTACTACAATTCTTGTTTTAATTCAACATTGCCCTGTTTTATAAAGGACCATGAATACTAAACGTAAAGTATATCAAGTGATATTTTTGAGACACAAATTCATTCTTCGTATTTTCAACAGAAGTTTTTAGTAGATAATTTTGAATAATTCCCTGGGTGGTTCATTATATTGTAACATTTCTAAATGTTTTTGATCAGTGAACAACTTAATCTCCTTTTGCATTTCTTGCAAACTTGTTTAATTCTAAAGATTAAAACGTACTAGAACTTTGATCCTTGGCTAGTAATCCTCCAGCTCTATACTTTTATTTTTCTGTCTATATGTATTTTAAAATAATTTATCCCCTATAGAATACTAACTGGGATGCAAGGGTAATCTTACCAGTACTTCTATTACTTATTTTATCACCATGGTTGATACAGTTATTAATTGGCATCTCTTCAGGAGATATTTTAATTTGAGGTTATTTCTACTTCCATTTCTCGTAAGACTCCCTCAGCATCTCAGTGTCTCTTACTTTTTGTTATTGGTACTCAAAGTTTATTATACATGTACCCAGATGTTCTTTGATCTGATATGATAAAATCAAGATATTTGTTAGAGGTAAAGACTACTTTTCTTTAAGATATTAATAGACTGGTGTATATTTTTGTTTCAGCTTTCTGATGAGTTAAAAAGGATTCCGGAAATATGTAGACACTGGAGTAATGGAAATTGAAAAATGAAAAATAATGTGTGTGAAAAGAAGAATGCAATTTATGTATTTTGGATTACCTCTTTTTTTTCCAAGTGATTAAAATAGTTAATCATTTAACCAAAGAAGATGTATAGTGCCTTAACAAGCAATTTTCATGAAGTATTTGGATACGATTCTTCTCTTAACCTTCCCTTCCCAGTAAACTTTCTGGAACATTTAATTTAGTGGAATTTTATAAAAAATTTAAAACTACTACATTTTAATTAGAACAGGGTTCAAAACTGTGTTGCTTAACGTTTGGCCATGTGATTTTTTTATCTTATCCAAAGGTAGTGGGGACTTGTGACCAGGTGTTCTTGCATATGCCTGTTACTGATAACAGCATCAGGAATCTATTCTAAGCTTTTCCATCATTGCATGGATGTGTATACTTCACACATCTTTCCTTTTGAGCAGAGAAATCATATATACTATGTGTCTTCTGAAAATGAAACACCATTCTTCAGCGTACACATCTAGACTTTAGAAAAAAAATGACTAGCCAGTCCTCCTCCATCTTCCCTCCTGAAATATTGTGCAGACTCTGTTTCTTGGTAGCTGTAGACATTAAAAAGTATTTGTAAATACAGGATTATGATTTCTTCATGAGTGTGGTTGGAAAGATTTCAGGCTCATTCCGTTTCCCTAATTTATTTAAGATGGGCCTCTCTCTAATAAAAATGTAGCTTAGTATTAAAATCAGTGTAAGTTTAGAATGGACTAAAATGTTCCTGCAACTCAGAGATTATCACTTATTTCATTTGTACCTAAGTGAAAAAAAAATGGATTTATCTGGTTAAATCAATTTCTGTATTACAGTGACAACATATTTTATTAACCCTTGTGGTTAGGAAAAGGACTCCCTTAGATTGGGAAAATAAAATCATGAAACATTAAATTGTTGCTTATGAATAGAAAGTAAATTTTTCTTGTAAACTGTTGTTTTCTTGCTATTATTTTAACATTTGTCCTCTCATATTATGTGGAGAAACAAAGTAATCATTTGAAGAAGTTCAGTTTGAATTTGATATTTTTTCTGTCAATGAAAATAACCATATGTGCTAACCAAATTTCTGTGAAGAATGAAAGTTGATGGTTATCACTAGATATAGCTATAATCTTCTCCATGGCTGTAAAGGGTATCCAGAAATGCCACTATTATAGAAATATGCAAATTCTGATTGTGAAAAAATTTTAAGAAACCTTAGAAGTATTATATTAAGATAATATTGTGACTGCCTACTACTATTTACCATCTAATAACTCTCCCTCATGGTCTAGAAATCTTACATAATAGACGTTTGAAGAAAGAGATGAATATAGTTACCTAAGAAGAAATGTTCTATGTGGGGCTTTTGGTTTGTTTTTTTTTTTAAGTAGATTTGGTGGGTGAGGTGATATTTACTCTCTAGTGGAGCCCATTTTTGTTACTCTACTATAAACTGTGTGATTCTGGATTCCTTATCTGCTGTTTTTGTACTTGTCTCAGGCCAAATAAATTTATGCTGTGATTCTTATGAGACTTGTATGAATATGCCCTGATTTGTACAGACTAACCAGGGGAATATTACTGCCATGTAATCTATAGCTCCAGATACTTTGCAATGAGCATTGAAGAATGACAGTTCTTTGTATTTTTTGTGTCTCTCTTAAGAGCACATTCTTCTTCTTTAAGGAGAGAAGTTGTGTTCTGCCTAAAATCTATAGAGAGCAGATTTACTATACTTAGAATAGTGTTACTTTTGTGGAAATGTTGAAAGTAGCTTTCATCTGAAGTGCCTTAAGTAGATTCTTAAATTTACTTTTCTAGTATTGATTTAAATATTATTTGTTATGCATTTTAAAATACTATTCAAACTTATACATTGTAGTGGCAAAGATAACCAAATGTCTGGCTGTTTGCTTTTTGATCATATCAATAAACTTTTACAATCTAAATTCTGAGTTTTTGGTTAACATCAAAAGGAGGGTTACTAACACTAATGCTAAAATAGAAGTATAATATTAGAATATTCCATTTTGAAATTATAATTAAGATTACTATTGTCCTAATGGCAGTAAATTTGGTAGGCCAATTTACTTAGGCATTTCTCAATTTAAATACATTCTTCCAGGATTCTATTCATTATCCTTTATTAATGCTGTCACCCTCTAGATTAGTCAGAACAATCAAGATATGTAAATGAATGACTGTTTTCAATGGTTCATTACATTTTGTCCTAGTCAGTCAATATTGTGACTAGGTAAAGAATGGGAAAGACTAGAGATCTCTTCAAGAAAATTAGGGGAGGAGGAGCCAAGATGGCGGAGGAATAGGACAGGGAGACCACTTTCTCCCCTACAAATTCATCGAAAGAACATTTGAACGCTGAGCAAATTTCACAAAACAACTTCTGATCGCTAGCAGAGGACATCAGGCGCCCAGAAAAGCAGCCCATTGTCTTCAAAGGGAGGTAGGACAAAATATAAAAGATAAAAAGGGAGACAGAAGAGCTGCGGACAGAGACCCGTCCCGGGAAGGGAGTCTTGGTAGAGGAAGTTTCCAATCACCGGGAAACCCTCGCACTGGCGGGACTGGGGCGAGTTTTCGGCAATCTAACTGGGAGGAAAAATTGAATAAGGCCCACAGATTACGTGCCTGGAGGCAACTCCCAGCAGAGAAGTGCCCCGACGCCCGCACCACCAGCGACGGGCGGGGGCGGAGCGGAGAGGAGCGGGTGGCATTGCTTGGGGTGGGGACCGGCCCGAGGACCCTGAGAGCAATTGGAGGGAGCTTTATTTAAACGGTGGGACAAAATTAACCGGCCGGAACACACTGCCTGCTGTTCGCAAAACAAAGGGACTGAGAAAGTCCAGAGAAGAACCGGCCTATCCCTGCTGGAGGTAGGAGGCAGGGGGAAGGGGAAAAGGGCAAACTCAGCCCCTGAGAAGCCACCCCCTCCCACATTGCAAACAGGCCCCCGGTTCCTATCTAAAGACTTCCTGAGACCCGACTGACGGCGCGCGCTGGGGCCGCGGAGGGGAAAAGCACGCCATACCCGGAGAGAGTGCGCCCAAGCCTCTGGCTGCCTGGGCCTCTCAGGCCAGGAAAGGCACAAAACGCAGGCGCAACCGAATCTGCGCTTTTGTGGAGCACCAGAAAACTGGAACCGCACTCAACGCAGGGTCTGCTCCATATAGAGCATCCGGGAGCCTGAGCAGTGTAGACGGGGAAAGCACTGACACCCGTGAGCGGGGCAAACCCAGTGTGGCCGGTGAGTGCTAGCCACACGGAGCAGTATCTGTCTGCAGCGCCCCGCCCTCCCCATAGCAGGACTAAACTGAACTAGAGAACCTAAATAAGAGATCACCTCCCCCCGTCTGTGTCAGGGCAGAAATTAGACACCGAAGAGAAGCCAAAATAAACAAAGGGAACCGCTTCAGAAAGGACTGGTGCAACAGATTAAAATCCCTGAAGGTAACACCGACTACACCGGAAGGGGCCTATAGATATCGAGAAGTGTAAGCTGGAAAGAGGAGCTATCTGAAATTGAACTGAACCTACACTGACCGCAACAACTCCAGAGAAATTCCTAGATATATATGTTTTTTTTTTAATTTAAAAAAAAATTTTTTTTCTTTCCTTTTTTAAAATTTTTTATTTTTTCTCTTTTATTTTCTTTTAAAATTCCCTATTACTCCATTACTCCTCAACTTTCATTTTCATATATTTTTACGATTTTTTTTTAATTAGGAGGAAAAAAAAAATTTTTTTTTCTTTTTTTTTTCTTTTCTTGTGTTTCTCTTCTATTTCCTTTTAAAGTCCTCTAATACTCCTCTATTATTCCTTAATTTCCATTTTCATTTCACTATAACCTTGCCAAAAAAAAAAAAAAAAGAGAGAGAGAGAAACCCTATTTTTAAACCAAACTTCATATACATTTCTAAGTTTTTTTGTGTGTTTTTGTTTTTGTTTTTAAATATTGTATTTCAAAGAGTCTAACCTCTACACTAGATTTTTAATCTTTGTTTTTCAGTATGTGATATAAATTTTGGACATTTAAGAATCCAATATTCAGTTCCCATTTCTATTCAGGAGTGTGGTGATCACTCTCCCACTTTTGATTCTCTGTTTTCTACCTCAGAACACCTCTATTTCCTCCTTTCCCCTTCTCTTCCCAATCCAACTCTGTGAATCTTTGTGGGTGTCTGGGCTACAGAGAACACTTTGGGAACAGATAACTGCGTAGATCTGTCTCTCTCCTCTTGAGTCCCCTTTTTCTCCTCCTCACCTCTACCTCCTTCCTCCCTCTCCTATTCTTCATGTAACTCTATGGATCTCTCTGGTTGTCTCTCACAGTGGAGAGTCTTTTCACCATTAACCTAGAAGTTTTATTATCAGTGCTGTATAGTTGGAGAAGACTTGAGACTATTGGAAGAATAAAACTGAAATCCAGAGGCAGGAGACTTAAGGCCAAAACCTGAGAAAACCAGAAAACTCCTGACTACATGGAACATTAAGGAATAAGAGACCACCCAAAAGCCTCCATACCTACACTAAAACCAACCACCACCCAAGAGCCAATAAGCTCTAATACAAGACATACCACGCAAATTCTTTAGCAACGCAGGAACATAGACCTGAGTGTCAACATACAGGCTCTCCAAAGTCACACCTAACACAAAGACCCATCGCAAAACTCATTACTGGACACTCCATTGCACTCCAGAGAGAAGAAATCCAATTCCACGCACCAGAACACTGACACAAGCTTCCCTAACCAGGAAACCTTGACAAATCAATCGTCCAACCCCACCCACTGGGTGAAACCTCCACAATAAAAAGGAACCACAGACCACAAGAATACAGAAAGCACACTCCAGACACAGCTATCTAAACAAGATGAAAAGGCAGAGAAATACCCAACAGGTAAAGGAACATGAAAAAAGCCCACCAAG